GCTAGAGAACGGGAAATTGAGCCATGGAGGGGCTCATGGCCTGTGTAGGGGCTCTGAATGAATTGCCCCAAGATACGCCACTTTGGCATGTGGGTTAATTTCCAGTTGGAAATAATTAAGGCACAAAAGACTCAGGAGGAAACGTTTGACATTTCCCCTAACTGCCTAAAAGAATTTAGATAGCTGACCTGCTCCAGGTTAGGGAACTGTCACCATAGATAACTACAATGTAACAGGAGCTTGGTGTGGTGGGCAGGGGGGATCTTAGCAAAGTCTGATTTATTAAAATTCCTCTCTATGTCCCATTGTTTCTGGATGGCCTGGCAAACATTTGTTTACTAAACATTTGCTCTCTTTTCTCTTCCTGTGAATTGTCTTCCTCTCCTTTGAAGTCCTAAACCCCTACCAGCTTCTCCTTAGTTCAGAATAGCATATAAGCCTCATTTTGCCTGTCTTTGAAGCTCTCACGTTTATGTGGATTCCCTATTCATATGTAATCTTGGCTTTCTCCTGTTAATCTGTCTCTTGTCAATTTAATATTTAGACCAGCCAGAAGAATCTGGAAGAGTAGAGGAAATTTTTTATTCCCAACACCTGCCTGGGAAAGGGAGCATCCTGTACTCTGGGAATCACCCACCTTTTCAGAAGAGGTGGGGAAGAGATTCTCTAAAGGAGACTGAGGAGGAGGAGGAGGGGCCAGAAGTGAGAGGGGGCAGGTCATAAATGCTGAGGAAAGAATGTCACTGAAGTACTGGTCGGGAATGTCACAGAGTTGTCATGTCAGGTAAAAAGAGGCTGAGAAGCATTTGTTGGATTTGGAGACCTAGAAAGCCCTCCAGATCACAACCAGAGCAGGAGTGGTGGGGCAGCAGCCAGGGCAGGGGGTTGAGAAGCAAATGACAAGATGGAGAAGCAAACAGGACTAGAGGGCTCTGCAGGTAAGTTTCCATGGAAAGCGGGCAGAGGGAAGACAGTGCTGGGAGCAGGGGTGCCTGAAAGATGGGGAGGGATAAGGCTAGCGGTGGAGGAGGAAGCCTAGGAGAGGCTGATAAGCAGAGGAGGGGGCGAGGCCCAGGGGGACAGCACTCTGAGTGGGAGACCACACCTCTGAGCCTGAGCCCAGAGGGAGGGGAGGAAGGCAGGAAGGAGGAAGGAGGGCAGGGGAGAAGTGGAGAAGTCTGTGGGGTGGGACACAAAGGGTGTTCCATTCTTCACAAAGAAGACAGAATTGTGGGAGGAGTGTGAAGGGCAGCAGTTTCAAAGGAGAATGGGTTTTCTCAGGAGCACTGAGGCAAGGAGGTTTGGATGCAGCATTTGGGGAGGAAGAAATGCCGGAGTGGGGACTGCGATGTGGCAGGGCCCCCTGCAATGTGACTCATGAGCGGTGACCACCCAGGAGATCCAGGGAGCCAGACTGGCCTTGGGGCCCAGTGATTCCTGCCCACCATTCCCAGCCCGCACTGGACTTGCCAGAAGGGGAGACAGACACACAGTTGGGGCCCCAGTTTGCCAGGGGCACCAGAAAGGGGCTCAGCAGGGCTGCAGTGGTGGCAGCATGGTTGGTGGTGTCGGGTCCAATCACCACCAGGGCAGCAGGGGAGTAGTGGGCAGGGTTTGCTTGGATCTCGATGTGATGCGTCCCCAGTGTGGAGAGCACATTTAGTGTGGCATACACGTTGGCTGACTCTGAGCACAGGTCATACAGCTGGTACCCCAGGGTGACGTTAGGCAGCAGGGTCGTGGAATTGTTGATCTCCTCAATGCAAACCTCATGGCCTGGAAGAGGTGGTAGCCATGGCCGTTGAAGCTGTTGGGTCTGTGGAAAAAGCCAAGCTGAGAGCCAAGAAGGGCAAGGCCTTGCTGCAACCCTCTTTGGAGGGTAGAAAGGAAACTCTGAGGTCATCTGTCCAGCCCCCACAACCATGACCTCAGTGTGGGCCCGGTACCATATACACACGGTTGTGTTAACAGGCCTTTGGGTTGGGGGGGGGGACAAGTTGGAGAAACCACATCCCATGCCTTCCTGGATAAGCATATTAGCATTGAAAGCCGGATGAAGTCCTATATCAGAGACACGTGCTGTATTAGTGTTCTTTAGAGAAACAAAACCAATTGGATATATATAAAGAAAGAGGTTATTTTAAGGAATTGGCTCACGTGATTTTGGGGCTGGCAAGTCTGACGTTTGCAGGGCAGGCTGGAAATTCCCTCAATGGTTGATGCTGCAGTCTTGAGTCTGAAGGCAGAATTCCTTCCTTTTTAGGGGACCTCAAATCTTTTCTCTTAATGTCTTCAACTGTTTGGATGAGGCCCACCCACACAATGGAAAGTAAGCTGATTTACTCACCCTATTGATTTAAATGTTAACCTTCACAGCAACATCTAGACAGGTGTTTGGCCAAACAACTGGGCACCATACCCTAGCCAGGCTGACACAAAAAGTTAACCACACACCTGTTTAACCTTGTTTAACTAGTGCTTCTCACCAGGACACTCATGAATGTAGTGAGCACCTGTGTTCCTCACTGCCTCTCAGGAACTGCTGGCTGGATCTCAACAGGGACATGGTTCAGCTCTGCTTGAAGAGTGTGCAAGCACATTCCACTTTCCAGCCTCTATGCCTGTTGGAAGGGTCTTCCATCATTTCTTTTTTTTTTTTTAAGACTTTATTTATCTGACAGAGAGAGACACAGCAAGAGAGGGAACACAAGCAAGGGGAGTGGGAGAGGGAGAAGCAGGCTTCCCGCTGAGCAGGGAGCCCGAAGTGGGGCTCGATCCCAGGACCCTGGGATCATGACCTGAGCCGAAGGCAGAGGCCCAACGGCTGAGCCACCCAGGCACCCCTCTTCCATCATTTCTATCACTTCTGTCTTTAAGTCCCTCAGAGGAAACTCAGTGCCTCCCACCATGACACCTTCTCCAGAAGTGGGTGTCCATGTGTCTCCTCTTCCCCAAATCTTCTCTTCCCAGGGTCCTATCTGTAGCTCTTGGGGCCAGTCTTCATGCACTAGGCTTTCCAGAACCTTCCTCCTGTGTGAATCTCAGATGTGCGTCATGTTTAAGGCATCCTGCCACTGAGTCCCGATCCATCCTCGAGCCTTCCCAAATCTGCAACTTGCACAGACGGCAAACAACTTATCTTCTTTAGGAGAAAAGCAGATGTTTTTCTCTACCAAGACTGTCAACTTCACGAAGGCAAGGCACCAATCTAAGATATCTTTGCTAAGCTCCTAAAGCATCTACTGCTGTTTGCCTTCCCTCTCTTCCTCATGGAAAACCACGCTTGCCATCCGGAGACTTGGGAGTTTGAACCTGGAGACGAGTAGGGAGGGCACAGAAGCCAGGAGAACCATGCTTGCTTAATCCTGGCCACCTCCTTGTGTCACAAAGCCTGGAAACAACTGGAGTGGAATTACAATACAAAGCACTCTAACAGCCAGGACAAAATAACGTATTGCACAGTGCAACATGAGCAGAAGTCCCAGGGAAGGTCCAGCCAGGGCTTGAAGGTGGTGACCGTAGGATGGGGAGGGACTAGAGGTGGTTCAAGAGGCAGCCCCAGAGGCAGAAAGGGCATGGTCTTCACCAAGGAGGGCAGGCAGAGGTCCTTATAGGCATAGGACCCCTCACTTACCTGTCACAGAGAGTCACTGTGGGCCTGCGTCTCACCCCTGGACAGTGAGAGTGCACAGGGAACAGACCTGCGATGAGGTAATCCCCAGGGTGGCTGAAGTCGGGAGACAGCTCTGTGTTGTGGCAGCTGAGGGCCCAGCAGCAGGAGAGGGAGAGCTGCAGGCTGGCTAGGTGAGCTGCCAGGAGTGACATGCTGGCCAGATGGTCCTGTGCCTGGCATGGCCAAGCAGAGCCCTCTGACCAGGTTGGCTGTTTAAATAGAAGAGACAGCAGCTGCGCAGATGCTTACCAACTTCATGCCTGTGCCAGGGGTGGGGCTGAAACCCAGTTGTAGGAACCAGGCTGCTTGCCTTGACCTTCTGGGCCTGTGGTCCTACTCAGGAACTGGGCAGGGGGAAGGCACAGATGCAAACCAGGTGGCAGCCGCTGACCCCTCCTCTGCATGGTTGTGGCTTCTGTCCTTGCTCTGGTGCCTGTGACTTCACCTGGCTCAGAAAGGGAGCCCCAGGGGCACCTGGCTGGCTCAGTGGGTTAAACAACTGAATCTGGATCTTGGCGCAGGTCTTGATCTCAGGGTCTTGAGTTAAAGCCCCAC